GCCCCTAAATCGATCTGTTGTTCTGTTTGTCTGTCTTTTGTTTTGTTATGTTTGTCTTTGCACTATTACTTGTGAAGCGACCTTGGGTCCCCTGAAAGGCGCTATAGAAATCGAAGCTATTATTATTATTATTATTATTATAAATGATGAAGCACAACATTGGTATTTAGTGAGTCGTCCCAACTGGTAATGTCCCATTACACACAAGCAGTTACATTTCTGCTTTCACAGATAATGACAAGCCATTAAATGCTTAGGAAAAATGTAGTTTTGTGTTTTTTCTAGTGAGTGATGTAAGTCAGAGTAAATTATTTTATGTGAAAAGAATCTGCTGCAAACTCCATATAAAAGCTATCAAAAATATCTACTTTATGATTATATCAACACAGAGGCACAGCCTTTGAACAACCCAGATTCCCTTTCCTGCTAAATTCTCCCTCCTTATCTCATATATTTGTTATTATCCTATCAATATTTACTAAATGTATGTCTAGTCTCAAAGTCTTGTAATGACGGCTGTTTTTTAGACCGTGCAACTGATGTGTTTTTTATTTGTAGGGTAAAAATGATGGAATAGATAGATAGACAGATTTTAGAAGTTTATTTATATAGCAATTCAAGGTACTTTACATAAATGAAAGACATTCAGACAAAGGCATTTAAAAACAGTCATTAAAAAGATAATAAAAGAAACATTAAAAGAAAAAATACATTAATATAAAGTATATGAATAAAAAGTACAGTGCAGTTTAAGATATGAATAGTTCACACAGAAGTTCCATTTTACTGATGCCTTTCTTTAAGGTTTCTCCGAACATGAGCTGTGTACGCTTGTATGGCACATACTGTACGTCCCGAGCAGCATACACAGAGAAAATCAGCAAGGACAAAGTCCCCAGACACAGATTCCCTAGCCCCAAATGTTCATTAACTAAAAACGAAACACAACCGCTCAGTTTCAATTAAAAACAGCGGCAAAAAGAAAAGTCTTCAGTAGGGATGCATACCGGTATCCGGTATTACCGAAATACCGGTTATTGGTGGCTACGGTATACCGTACCGAAATCAGATCCGGTTTCGATACTTTTTTTTTTTTTAAATGAATTTTAAAAGTGAGTCCGTAGCCCGTGATGGCGGGTGTTATAAATTAGATTGCATAATCGTTTTTCTTCATATGTTATGTATTTTTCATTGTTTGTTCAATACTAGAAAGGTAAAAGTCCCATTAAAAAGGACTGTGATGGGATTTGTTTTCTCTCACCAGTGAAGGTAAATGTTGATTTTAAAGATGAGATTTGTTGTGATCCATTATTCTATTATGTATTTGTTCTCTAGTCGAATCTCAGGTTTAACATTAATTATAACGGTGCTATAACGGTCTGTTTGCATTGACAAGATGTGCTATTCACGCGGTACACCTGATGTTATAAAATATAGTCCATAATCGGTTTTCTTCATATTTTTTATGTATTTTTCATTGTTTGTTCAGTACTAAAAGGTCCAAGAAGTCCCACAATTGAATTTAATATTCATTTGACATGTTAACTATATCGTAAAGCGCTTTATGGGAGTAATTGTGGGATGATACATTTTCAAAGTATCACGATATGTATCGGTTGACTATCGGTATCGTTCAGTGGTATCGGTATCGGTATCGTAAAAAAGTCAACGATATGCATCCCTAGTCTTCAGCCTGGATTTAAAAGTAGTAAGAGTTGCAGCGGATCTGCAGGTTTCTGGGAGTTTGTTCCAGATATTTGGAGCATAATAACTGAATGCTGCTTAACCCTGTTTAGTTCTGACTCTGGGGACAGAAAGCTGACCAGTCCCTGAAGACCTGAGAGATCTGGATGGTTCATAATTTAGCAGGAGGTCAGAAACTTATTTTGGGCCTAAACCATACAGTGCTTTATAAACCAGCAGCAGTATTTTGAAATCAATTCTTTGATACACAGGAAGCCAGTGTAAAGACTTCAGAACAGGAGTGATGTGATCCACTTTCTTAGTGTTAGTGAGGACTCGAGCAGCAGCGTTCTGAATCAGCTGCAGCTTCCTAATAGATTTTTTAGTGAGACCTGTGAAGACACCATTACAGTAGTCCAGTCTACTGAAGATAAAAGCATGGACAAGTTTTTCCAAATCCTGCTGTGACATTAGTCTTTTAATCCTAGATATATTCTTTAGGTGACAGTAGGCTGATTTAGTAACTGTTTTAATGTGACTGTTGAAACTCAGGTCAGAGTCCATGACTACACCTAGATTTCTGGCTTTATCTGTTGTTTTGAACATTGCAGGCTGAAGCTCAGTGCTAACTTTTATACGTTCTGCCTTGGCTCCAAAAACCATTACCTCAGTTTTGTCTTTGTTTAATTGGAGAAAGTTCTGACACATCCAGTCATTGATTTGTTCAATGCACTTACTCAGTGTTTGAATTGGAGCATAGTCTCCTGGTGAAATGGTTATGTAAATGTGTGTCATCCGCATAACTATGGTAACTTATTTTGTTGTTTTTCATTATCTGAGCCAGCGGTAGCATGTAGATGTTAAAGAGAGGAGGCCCCAAGATGGAGCCTTGAGGTACCCCACATGTCATATTTGTCAACTCAGATTTGTATTTACCTATAGAAACAAAGTTGTTTCTGTCCTTTAAGTAGGATTCAAACCAATTAGACCAGATAGATGCTCATTTTCAGGTTCATATTTGTATTTTGTTCCCCTACTGCAGTGGTTCTCAAAGTGGGGGGCGCGCCCCCCCAGGGGGGCGCAGAGGCATGACAGGGGGGGCGCGAGAGACCAGGAGAACAAATGGTTATTAAAAAAAAAAAAAAGATTATAAAAAAAAAAAAAAAAATCATATTTTGAACAATTATTGATTCGAAAATAATATGATACAGTACTATTACGTCTGGGTCTCTGTGTTTCATTAAAGCTCGGCTCTGTGTGTGTGTGTGTGTGTGTGTGTGTGTGTGTGTGTGTGTGTGTGTGTGTGTGTGTGTGTGTGTGTGTGTGTGTGTGTGTGTGTGTGTGTGTGTGTGTGTGTGTGTGTGTGTGTGTGTGTGTGTGTGTGTGTGTGTGTGTGTAACGAGCCATTTTGTGTGCGTGCGTGAGCGAGAGAGAGAGATAGCGCACCGGTACCGGAGATCGTTGATGTTAGCTTCTGGTGCTAGCGAGCTACGCTAACGGATATAAGGAGTTTTTTTAACAACAAAGTGGAGGAGAGTCCTCTCATGTCAGACTGAGAGTCTCAGTGAGCTAAAGGACTCTCAGTGTTATCTCAGTGGGTCTCAAACGTTTTGGTCACCATTAATGTAAACAATTATTTCCGAGGCACACGTTTATATGATCATTATAGTTATAAAAAAATAAGAGAATACATGAAAAACAGCTATGAAATACTATATGACAGTAAAACAAGAATAAAGTTTAAAAGAGTGATTTATAAAATATCCATAAAGAAATAGTAAATCTGTTTACAATTCTGTTTCATCTGGGTGTTGAGAGATGTATCCATAGATCTCTTCATTTTGCTCTCAAAGTGCACCAGATTGATGCTTTCAACTTCAATATTTAAAAATCTTCCCGGGGGAGCATGCCCCCGGACCCCCCTATGTGAAGTCCACACACCACCTATAAAAATAGCACTTTACCCCTGCTTACACCTATATGCCGAGACTTGATATCGAGCCTTCATTGTAACAGTCGCGGGTACATAGTGTATGTGCGTGGGGAGTGTTGCAGTAGAAAATTCCACTGTAGCGACCGGTACATTAATGGGAAACCCTAAATGTTTGAGCACGCTCTATGAAAGGTCAAGCTACCCCACAGCACCCCCAAAAGAAATCTCTGGCGCCGCCACTGAGCCTGACTATTTGTGTTGGGGGGGCCCGACTTTTTTTTTTCTCCAAAGGGGGGGCCTGACCGAAAAAGTTTGAGAACCACTGCCCTACTGTGACATGTTTACATGCTTTAATGTTAAAAAAAAAACATTGAATATGCAATTTGTATCATGAGCCCACATGTGCCAAGAACAAAGGGGTCATGGTTGGAACTCTACCACCTAATCCTTAAAATCTTAATTTACAATCTTGTGGTATAGAAAAAGAAATACGAACAAACAGTGACGCAAGAATACACAAAGTTACGATCAAAGAACTGAAAATCTGAGAGCGCCGGTCATAATGGCAGCCCACTGCTCCTAACACTAGGATGGGTCAAATGCAGAGAAACCATTTTGTCACATAGTAAGTAGGCCTACTGTGTAATGACAATAAAAGTAAAAAAATAAAAATAACACTGCTATCTTATGATCCTCATTATGTAGTTTATTGGCCATATCGCAACTCTAAGAACAACAATTATCATCCCTTTGTCATTAATTTTGTCTTAAAAAAAAAAGGGAATGACTTAATGTGGTATCATTTGAACTGTGAGTCTGCTCGGGTATTTTCCGAGCTCACTTTGATCTCACATCCTGGAAAAAGCTCACAAAGTTCACCATGAATTATTCGATTATTCGATATAAAAAGTATGTCTGTGTCCAACATACATTGAAGGTTTTGTTATTGAAGTAAGTTTTAAAGGAGGTTCTTCATCTCTATACTCCTCCAGGGTATATCATACTGCCAAAAGTTTCCATTTGGAAATGAACTCCCTTGTTTTCCAGTCTCCAGAAACTCTGTAAAACACACCAGATCCAGAGAAAAACAGATCAGAGAGAATATGTTTTAGTAGTGGATGCCCTAGTGGCTTCAGTCTTATCTCAAGCACAGACTCCCCTGTTGTCCGATAATTCCAGTCTTCAACCGATTACACCTTGTTTTTACGAAATTATGGAAACTGCTTTAATGTTTTTATGGAACAATTACTCTCCTGTTTCCTGAAATTCAATCAAATAATTTGCACACATTTACACTTAGAATAGTTTCATGCAAATACGCTGCAGAACGATGCTCCCTTGGTCATGTGTTTTGTTTGATTTTCGTTATTTCCATTGTTTGCAGATAGTACCTAAAGATAATGAAACACGGTCTACTTTAATGTACAAGTACATCATCCATGAAGATTCGGTGCCCGTCAACAACAACAACGTGATCCAGGAGGAGACGTTTGAGTGGGCTCTGAAGAGCTGGTCTCCGTGTTCCAAGCCTTGTGCCGGAGGTAAAGGAACAATTACCATCACATTTTCAAAAGGACCTGAGAGGAATAAATTGGTTCCTTCTTTTATAAATGTGATCATCTGATGAATGGGCTCACTGCTCTTGCTGTAAGTAGGCAGCATTTGATTGTCTCATTTTCTCTACTTTAGTTCCTATTCTCTTGAGCTGAAGCTATTTAAAATGTTTGTTTTTTCATATTACTCTTTTTTTTTTTATTAAAGGAGCTTCTTTGGTGGTGGTTTGTTGTTTAAGGTTCCGGTTGATAAGGAAATTAAACTGTTTCCATGGACAAACAGAACGCTTTCCTACTAAAAAACAAAATGGTCCTCACTTCTTTCACAGGGTTTCAGTACACCAAGTATGGATGTCGAAAGAAAGGAGACACCAAAATGGTCCATCGAGGGTACTGCGACGCCAGCAAGAAGCCGAAACCGATCCGCAGAATGTGTAACCTTCAGGACTGCACCCAGCCTCAGTGAGTACCGCTCCCTCCGCTTCCCTCATAGGAAAATATACTGAGCCATTTGGGAAATTGCTGATTAGATACAAAGTGGGACTTAGCTGCAGTCTATTAAGATAACAATGTTCAAGTAGCTTCTGTCAGCATGAGTTGAATTTGAATAAGCCTCTAAAACTATAATGTGTAGTGTGGGAATAGAGAGAACATATCTCTTTAGTTTTTGCAAGATGAACAATGTTTCATTTGTGATTTAACTTCCATGTTTTGGGTTTTATTTTCAGCTTGTCAAAGCACTTTGCTCAATACTTACTGCATTATATAGATGAGAACTTATATGAAAATTACTGTAAAGGAGGAGCAAAGGAGAAACACTTTGACATTTTGAATGCAGGGCCTGGGGATAATTTCCCCCTGAAACACACCTGCTTTAGACTCTTAGTCTTTTTGCAATACACTCTTACGTACAGTCTTGAAATGAAAGCTCTTCACCACTCGTAAAGATTAGTATTTTGATTCCGATTTGTTTTCATATTTTTAAAGATGACATACAGTATTGTATGTTGTGCTTCTATCGTTACATGTCTCCATGATTTAATGTTCAAAAAGCTCTTTATTTTTCTCATACTGCCTGTGCTGCAGCACCTCTTTTCACCCTCTGTCTGAAACCAGAGCCCAGTCTGCTCTGATTGGTTAGCGAGTCAGCTCTGTTGTGAATGGTCAACTGCTTAGAGATGTCCCACACCTTAGCATATCGCGTACAATGTTTTGGTGCGCAAGGCGAGAAGGGTGAGTTTTACTTAGTGATGTCACTATGTTAACGAAGAAATATGGGAGTATGGTGATTTTGAGGCAGGGGCAGTGTTGGAGGGACTTTGGGTTTTAGCCTTTGCAGACCATTAACATTAACAAAACCCTATATAACATTACATTATACTTGTTAGACGCTTTTATCCAAAGCGACATACTCAATACTGTGGACAATCCCCACAGGACGATTTGGGGAGAAGTGTCTTGCCCAGGGACACAACGGTCCAATCCCAAACCACGCCCTACACCCTACCCCTACACACTCCCCTCCGTGACGGAGTAAACTCTGTGGAGTGACACTCGCAGCTCAACGAGGCTCCCTCCTGTCAGATGGAGGGAGTAAATACAGCAGCAAGCTTTGGGACAAACTCCCCTCTCTCCGGCAGAAACAGGAAATGCCGTAACTGTATGTAACAACGGTTTCAAATCAGCATCTCTTTGACAAAACATTTAAATTAATAACTCAAATAAAACTCCAAACATATTTAATTGTGTTACTTCTTCTGTAAAGCTCTTTTAGTTTTAAACCTGTGTAGGGGGTGATTTGGGATTGGGCCAACGACATAATAACTGCAGTGGGGTAATTAAATTAAATTATATCATGATGATGTTTTCCCTCTTTTCATTTGAAGTGTTACTACATAGTCAAGTTAGATCTTAGCTGCTAAGAGCTGGGCTTCTCCAGAGGAATCAAAGAGAGTGGGATTGCTGTCTCAGACTTGTTGCTCCTGTTACATGAAAGGACATTTGCATAAAGTTGAACCTCTCTCTCCAGAGTCAGGACTCATGAGGAGGCAGGCACCATGGTGTTACCTGGAGGTAACGTTGACAATAAATGGCAGCATGTCACTTTACTAATGTTTGAGGGGCGTTATCTAAGTAATGAATCAAGCTCAGAACCCATAATGCAATTAAATAGCATTTTTCATCTTTGACTGATAAACCATGTTATAATCACAAGCCTCTCAAGCTGTTTTCTCTTTATATAATATGGATGATATCCAGATTGGTATATCTGTTAGGTCTCGACGATGATTGGTGCATTGATAGATTTACATGTCATTGTCTGTCTGACAATGACATGTATGAGACCTTCCAATCAGGTTTCCGCCCTGCACACAGTACAGAAACAGCCCTAATAAAAGTAGCCAACGACCTACTGATGGCAGCCGACTCTGGGTCACCCAGCATCCTGGTCCTTCTTGACCTGAGTGCGGCTTTCGACACAGTGGACCATACCATCCTCCTCCACCGCCTCGAGACCTACACCAGGGTGACGGACACGGCTCTGAAGTGGTTCTCAAGCTACCTCACCAACCGGAAGTACCACGTGTCTCTAGGGGGTTCCAGGTCTGACGACACCGCAGTGACATGCGGGGTCCCACAGGGCTCAGTGCTGGGGCCGATCCTATTTTTAATCTATCTATTACCTCTGGGTCATATCATCAGACAACATAACATCAACTTCCACTGCTATGCCGACGACACTCAGGTCTACATCAAAACACAACCCAATATCACCACTATCCAAACACTAAACACCTGCCTGGAAGACATCCGCTCCTGGATGACCACCAACTACCTTCAGCTCAACAGCAGCAAGACGGAGGCAATCCTGATAGGCACCACTGACCAGCTTGCCAAGGCCGCCAACATCAGCCCCTCCCTTGATGGTCAGCTCATTCCTCTCTCCCCCGTTGTCACCAACCTCGGTGTAAGGTTTGACCCCACTCTGTCTTTCCAAGCCCACATCAAACACATCACCAAGACCTCCTTCTTTCACCTGAAAAACATTTCCCGACTGAAGCCCTCACTCTCAACTGATGACATCAAAAAACTGGTTTATGCACTCGTCTTCTCAAGACTAGACTATTGCAATGCACTCCTCTCCGGTCTCCCAGCCAAATCCATCAACCGCTTGCAACTTGTCCAGAACAGCACAGCCAGAGGTCTCACCGGTACAAAAAGGTCCGCACACATAACCCCCATACTTGCAAAACTACACTGGCTCCCAGTCCACTACAGGATCCAGTTTAAGGTTCTGCTCCTCACGTACAAAGCCCTGAATGGACAAAGCCCAAAATACTTCTGTGACCTCATCCATACCCAGACATCTACCCGCTCTCTCCGCTCCAGCCACGCTCCTCTTCTTCACATCCCCCGCACACGTCTCCGAACAATGGGAGACCAAGCCTTCTGCTCATTCGCCCCGTGCCTCTGGAACTCCCTCCCAGATCAGCTGAGATCTGCCCCTTCCACCGAGGTCTTCAAAACCGGCCTTAAGACCCTCTTCTTTCGGCAGGCCTTCCAATAAACTTTGAGCATGGTACACCTGGAGTAATGCCATTTTTATCGCTATCTCCGACTTTTACTTTTGTACTCTATTTTATTTTTTATTTTTTTTATTTCTTATTATTATTACAATTATTTGTTTAATCTCTCAAAGTGTATCAGTATCCCTTGTTGTGAAGCACTTCGAGATTTGTCTTGGCAGATGAGAAGCGCTATATAAATTACATTTATTTATTTATTTATTTAAAGGTGTCACAACAGTACTCATCTTTTGTAATTTGGTGTCTGGGGGCCCTTTTTTGTGTTGTCCCTTTCCTGTAGTGTGTTATGTAGACTATGTGCATGTAATTGGTCTGCAAAGGCTACAATCCCAAAGTTCAATGGCAACGTGGGTTTTTGAGAGAAAACCAGCTCATTACAAGCACAAATGACATGAGAAACCATAGAAATAAAACACATCTTGGGATTCTTTGTGTTTTAATAACATGATTCCTTGTTAGTTCCTTGTAATAGTTCAACAAAATTAGAGGATGTGTCCACATTTCAATTGTTTTAATTTATCTTATAAAGGTCTAACCTTCTTAATTAGAATGATTAAGTAGACATTGGGATCAAGAAGTGGAGAAGCTTTTAATCTTGAAATGAACAATGGACCTTTAATTATGATTACATTTAGAAAATATAATTTAAAACTGAACTAAGTGTTTTAAAAAAAGATGAAAATAGAAATACATTTAAAGTGCTTTGAGGATTTTCAACACATATGATAGGAAAATATATAGCTGAACTTCACAATCCAGGAATGTAATGCGTTGTGAAAAGGTATTCACTTAATGAAGTCAATTATTCAGTAGTTCACATTCCACAGGTTCAAACCCACAGAGACTGAACCAAAGCCGATTAATACTAAACGCAGGGATGATTTTACAATTTGTTGCCCTAAATCTGCTGCACTAAGAACCAGGACAGGTCTACTCTTTTATCAATACATCCCTCCAGTGGGACTTGTTAGGAGAGTAATGAGTTGTGTCCCCAGAGATCCATCATAGCAGTCTCGTTTTAAAAGCGGTGACAGTTGGTTTAGAGATGAGATAACGGGAGGGAAAAGCTGCTTCTCTGGGTGAAAACACACTGTGTGTAGCGGCTATACGCTCTGAACTCTAGCAGGGGTGTGAAAGTAAAATAACAAAATCTGAGGAGTCTAAATGCTGGGCCCTGACAGAAAAGGCCAGCAGGTAAAAGAAAACGGATGCATAAGCTGTTTAGTGGTCAAGGCTGTAAAACCCCAAGACACTTTAAAAAGCTGAAGCCGGAAGTCTCCATCCAAATCTCAAACTGTGAGATTACGCAACGTGAGGCTTAAGACCTCGCTATTCTGTCGAATATTAAACCAAACGAAATAAAGAGCCGAGAGATCAAATGCTGCTGTTTTCTGACACTGAAGAAAATTATTCACTCATTCTGTGTCATGTATTACTCTTAGTATGGATTGACTTCTCTTCTGGATGGACTCCATTCGAACCACAAAAGAAAGCAATCTCAGAGACTGAACGCTTTATGTTTCAACCTCTCTTTTGAGGCTGAAGGACACACTTTATATCAAAACAACCATGTCTTGTGGATCTTATCTGAACTTTGTCCACTTCAAAGTGTTCATGAGACTTTTAGCCTGTTAGCAGTGTTAGTTTCAGGGCTCTGAGGACAACACTGGTCTGTTTGATCCAGACTGAAATATCCCAACAACTATTATGTTGGATTGCCAATGCTGTGCTGATTTTCATGACCCTTAGAGATTTAAATTCTACTGACTTCAGTGGCATATAAATCATTTTTGGTTATTCTGTGAAATATCAAATCAAATCAAGTTTTATTTATATAGCACATTTATAAACGATTTTTGGTCAAGCCAAAGTGGT